TTAATTTCATCATTTTTGTTTTCGGAATGGCCTTCGTCGACAGCCTCCTCTATTGTTGTTGTTTATATTATGCTCGCTCTGTATAAATCAGCTAGCCCCGTTTGATATTTTAAATTATATAAACGTCCTGAGGTATCTATACCTCYCATGTAATATTCTTAATATTTATTGTTCGATATTATGCTGTTTAGTATTAGGTATAATAAGTGGTGCGCGCATCGTATATTATGTCTACGAATTACGATCATTTGACGAGAACAACTACAAGAGATTCTCGTAGATCTCTACGCGGGCATGGTGTTTTCGACTGCAATTAATAATAACAAGTTATTGTTGATAATCATCGTGTGATGATCACCGAAAAAATATACTTGCATCATAAAGTGGTTACCTACATTCACGGTCGTTGTTAAACTATTGTTCCTGTACTACACTGTGTTTATGCGTGGTGTACGGGTATTTATGTTAATAACCGTTTCTCTAGTATATAACATCTATTAGTCTATAACCATGGACTCTATAGTCTAGACCCTAGAGATCGGATTTATAGGGTTTCTCATGTATTCTCTGGGTTTATGCAGCTCGACGAGAGTAAACATGTGGATGATTTTTTGATTAGATAATTTGTAGAAACATTTTATTTTGAATATTTTTAGGTTTAGAGAATATTTAGTCTATATTTTTCATATTATATAAGAATTTTAGAATATATTTTACTATCGTCTATATAATAATCATGGTTTTTATTTCTCGAGTGAGAATTTCTTTATATTTATACTTATTCTAAAAAAAAAATCTATTATAATAAAATAATTGAAATTGTTAATTCATTTGTTTAAAAAATCTAGCTTAAGCCATAGCGATTTTTTTCACTAAATTTCTCATCTTTGTCACTGTTCCTCTCAGATTGATGGATTAGATTATAAACACTATTTGACTAAATCGTTAATCAATAACAATGATCTGACGTAAATTAAAACTAATATAGGTTCAAGTTGTTCAACTCAAGATTAGAATATAATATAAATGATTATATTATATATTGAGTGTTAACAATATAATATTATAGTATACTTATTACTTTGATAATTGCTTAAATAATTTTATAATGGTGACTTAATAAAAAAAAAATCAATTATATTTTGAGCGGAATTCTACCTAAAAGTCCGCCGAATAAAAGTCAGGTAAAAAAAGACCCGCGWAAAAAAGTCCGATGTAATAAAAGTTCGGCGAACAAAAGTCTGGTTTATTTATTATACATAATATGTCGTACAAGAAAACATTAATGTTATTAAAAATAATGGCAATAATTTATAATACAATTATTGCAATCAATGTTATAGGTAGGCACAATAAAAATTAAAATATTACATAAAATATGACATTATAATTTTTTGGTTAGGAATTCTCCAAGCTAAGTGTTGAAGAGTTTTTAACTCAAGTGGGACATAATATTAGGACACGGCCAAGATGATTAATGTTTTCTTGTATGACATTAAATTTTATTTTTATTTAAAAGTACCTAACAATYAGTCTGACCAAAAAATTATAATGTCATATTGTATGTAATATTTTAATTTTTATAGTACTTACCTAAAATATTGATTGTAATAATTTTATTATAAATTATTGCTATTATTTTTAATAGGTAACATTAATGTTTTCTTGTACGACATAATATGTATAATAAATAAACCGGACTTTTATTCGCCGGACTTTTGTTCGTAGATTCATTTTGAGCAGATGTTCGAATCATTATCAAAGTTATAAAACATGTATAATTTCTTATTTAGCAAGTAATATTATTTTAATTAATTGTGTGTCTAAAATTACTTCTATATGAAAAACCTATCATTTGATTAACGTTGCTCACAAATTACTGTTGTGCATTAGTCAAAATATTTTATTATTTTTATGATCAAGTGTTTGGAAAACACCGTCCAACTATGCTTGCTATACATCTCGGATATTCGCCTCCGGCTTATGGACGAAAAAGCGTTTCTTTTTACGGGCGTGAATACTGATTTCTACATTTTATTAGTTTACTAGGATCTATTCGTTTATTAACAATCTACTTTGTATATTTTGACAGTTGAGGAACCTCCTAATATGTGTTGTTACCAAACATCATCAAGAATATGTCATTATATTAATATAATATTTATGTCATTATAGAATGATTCTGTAAAATATAAGTATTTTCAAATGCTGACTGGGATTTTTACTAAATCATATGGTATTTCGCTAGAAAAGTTTACATTTTGAACTGATTTATATATTATGTTATCAAAGTGTTTTAACATTTTCTGTATTTTTTACTCATTATAGTAGCCGTATATTTTTATTTAAAACCGTAAATTATAAACAACGATTGACCGTTGCGGTAGCCTTTTGTGCTTCTTTTATAGTCATTTCCATGATATATTAAATTTTTTTTCTTATTCATAATTTAATTGTTCATAACTGTTCACGCGATGAAAATGCGTTTTTGATTATTAATATGCATTTTCTTTAAACGCACTGCTTCAAATAGTCATTATTAATAAATTACAATAAGTACATGTGCGAGTGACCTGATGAATATTCGGTATTTATGTTACTATAATAATTTTTTCATATGAAACTTTTCAGACAGTATAATGTGTTTAGTTGATTTCCYCCTAATAGGCCGAATATTACGTATAATATTATTATACACATTAAATTGATAATAATATTTCACTATTATATTACCTACCATAAATGTCTAATTTAAAACTAGATATTTTGAGCAGTATTTRTAGGCGAACGCCGTGTGTGCAACTGGGCGTGAGTCAAAATTCTCATTGACACTCCCAGGTCCTTTTTTATACTGACAACTGACAATTAATAYATATTTCTGTGTCTACTGCTATATTTAAGGAACGTTACCACATGTTGTCGACTACAAAATGTGTCGAGCGACCACATTGGCCGATCCTTAATGGTGATATTTAAAAAATAAAATCGATGTAATCCGAATCAATTCTACTGTTGGATTCGTCTGATGATTGATAAATTATTTTTGTAGTAATATAGTAAAGCGAGAATAACAACGGTATCAGTAGAGAACCCTATGCCCCGGGTATTTCTGATCCTGGAAATTAATTTATTTGTTTTTGGGTGGCCTACATCCGCCCCTATGGGTTATAGGTAGATGATAAACTTCATAAACTCTGTTCTAAATGTTTACCTCCCTTTTTAGGTTCTGCAAACCCATCTTTGTCATTCATTGTATGTACGCAATGTATACGTTCGATTTTTATTGTAACTATACTTATATTATATTTGATAAATATCGTTTTTAACCAATATTACTTAGCGGTCGACTTAGATTTTGGAAGATCTGCTGAGATTAAACTCGTTATCTCGCTGGGCCTGCCAATCGGTTATTTTTAAGATTTTGAAAAATTAGCTCATTAAGTGGATTTATTGTTCTTGTAAAAAAATTCGTATCAAATTTAATACAATATTCGCATACCTWTCAATATTGATTTACTGTTTAACGAGCTGCAGTTTAAAAACCACTTGTGGKTGGGTGATACCATTTCTATTGCGTGCTACGCTGGCTTTGGGTTCGTAGTAAATCATTCCATCAACAGGTAATAAATTGAAAGAAATGCAATTTATTATAATTTTTTTTTTTTAAAGATCATAATACGTAATAATAAGGGTACGATCCGTATGATGATGTAGGTATGTAGTTGATKATAATTATTTATTAGCGTGCTTGTACAACTATCATAACATGTTACTTTTCTGAGGTTCTGTCACTGGACAGTCTCCTCTTCATGTCTTCTTTAAATCACTCATCATTGTTACTTATTGTTTTATGTGTAAACAGATTGTAATATATTTTTTAATAAAAAAAAAAAAAAACATGTTACTTACTTCCGCACGCTTATGTCGACTCGCAGTATTTATTTTCACCAATTAGGTAGGTAGGTAGTAGGATCTAGGTAGTTAATACTTATTATATATTATTTTAATATAGGGATTGATATTTTTGTCTGTTTTACTATTTATCGAACAAGACTTCTCAAAATCTATTTGAATTCGTAGGCGTTTTTAAAATTGTTTACAGCGTAAAATATTATTATATAACAATTTTCATTTTACAACTATTACTATTCAAAAAAAAAAAATAAATACTCGTGCATTATATGCATATTTTTTTTAATGATGTAAACATTTTTAATAATGTAATCATATAAAATGCATTTTCATGAATTCGTTTATTGTTTGCGTAGCTTGTGAGTCATGGTAGTGTTAATCAATAAATATGCGCAAATACCCTGGTCGAGTATTTCATATAAAAAATTATTTTCCCTCGATCGTCGTTATATACCGGGATACCTATTATTTAAAATATTTACTATAACAATTCGTTTAAGTCGATTTGTGTAGATAGTAGTTATAAACTRAATAGGTACGCAATRCTAAATTGTTAGTATAAAAGTCTTATAGTCATCTATTCGTATTTAATTGTGTCGTAATTAGTTATTAATTTATTATACCTATACCTACATATAAAACATCGACTGAACGTGGTCGTGTGATGTACCACTGATGCAATGTTGTAATATTTCGACGTAATGATATTACAATATTATGTTAAAATTTTAAATGAAATAAGTTTAARAGAGTCAATATTGGTCCAAATCTATTAGTCGCTTGYAGAATCTTAAGTACTCCACTACTTGCGCCATCTGTTGACTGTTGTGCTAAATTTTGAAGTTTAACCAAACGAACGGAATTTATTTCCCATGCAGATAACGAAACGTCTGCAAAATTTATTTGACTTCAATCTTAAGGTATTTAGTTTTCAGACTTTGGTGGCGGGGAGGAGTTTTTGTAAAAATGCAAGAAATAAATACCGGGAAAWTAATCGATGATGAGATTATTTTGCGCATGGTCATAATATTATGTAATGTTAATTGTGGTGATGAGTGATGACTAATGACAATTGGATTTTTCTGCAGGCATGCGATTGACGACGTACGCCAGCGGCGACGGTCGAGCAGCGGCGACATGTTGATGCGCCATGTCAAGGCATGGACGCTCTAAACAATACGGTCCGGAACCGCCGCCGGCGGCCGTCTACACCAAGCCGCCGCCGCCGGTGCACGGCAACAACACGTACAACGGCCGAGCGCACCACCATTACCAGCAGCAGTCACAACAGCAACACCAGCAATTGCTGCTACAACAGCAATTCTACGGCACGCAACAACAGCAACAGCAGCAGCAGCAGCAACAACAACAGCAACAGTCCCACGTGGTGGTCGGACCTAGGCCCCCGTCGAGCAGTCACCACCATCACTCGTTGCCCAGGTATTATACTATTTATTTAGATTGGTTAGTTATTTTCTGGTGCTGATTGCGACCAAAGTCAAGAAAGATAGAAGCGGAGAGAATGGGTTTTTGGTGGGTTCATTTTCGCTGTAGAGCTTTTTTCATCGTTTCTCGTTGCTGTGTGTATTTAATATTAGATTAATACCTATAATTTACAGCGTTTTAATTGTTTAAACATTTTTTATTTGTTTGGAAYTTGCGGAATTTTTTTCTGGGCTGTACAGAATATTAGAATATAAAATAGTGTACCTAATATTTTAATGTCAGACATTTTTACATTAATCATCATTCACTTTTTCTTAATTGAGTTGCAATTGTTATATTTTCGTATTGACTGAAACCATTTGTTTGTGTTTTGGAGAACCGAAATTGAAAAAGCAAATTTTTATTTTCACAAACCGTTGAGATTCCCAGTCTTTTATTTTACAATGAACAAAATTAAGGTTTATGGTTAATATACCGTTTGAGTGTACATGCTTATTTGTTATAGTCGTATATATGAGTAGTTCGGGTTTTTACTAATAGTTCACGGTAATTTGTCGAGTAGTAAATAAACGCGATCAATACTCGTGTCCTGAGGGTTTAGTTTTGTAATAAATTGTGCAGACGGTGTTGTTATCGTTGGATTTCCAAGGATGACGTGTAGTTTRTGATGATGACGAATTCGCTTTTCATTTCAAATCTGGAGGAAATTCGTATAATTGACGAACATCGTGGTATGTTCATTTCCTCGAAAATGCTTTGACGCCGGTGTGTCTTTAAATTTGATTAATGTTATGTTACTCTGCTAAGAAGACGACAGAAAACTGCAGAAACTACCTATAATGTATATATATATAGGCCCTACATATAGTATATAATTTATTGATATTTATTTTTTATCGCAATAAATTCGTACTTAGGAAATGGTGTGTGTGCGCGCGCGCGTGTAGCATTTCTGATTGAGATGAGAAACTTGGCTGTGGCGTGTTTTGTACAATTTACTCACAAGAGATATATAAGAGAGAGGAAGAGTATAGTATTATATACTTCCCCCCTCAAGCCAATCGGAGATTTGTCCGGCGTATATAATAGAACTGTAGAATATTATTTTAACAATTTCTAAAGGTTTTTCTATTCATACAAAACATATACTATTTATGAACTACTAAAAACTACTTACCCCTTGGCTGTATCCATCAAAACTGCGGCTAAAAATCATCACGTACTATATAATGATAATAATAATAATAATAATAGAAAAATCGATGGGAATAATGAACATCACCATATTATATACTAGTCATGTCGGATTGACAGGTTATAGTTGTACCAGTGAACAAAGCGAAGAATTTCTCATTGTTTTCGTTTTTCCGTCTCGGTGTTAAGCTTTTTAGTTTTTACATATTATTGTACATTAAAAAAAAAACAATTTGCAATAATATTCTCTATTGCGTAACTGTGAATTTTAGAACTTACATTAGCCAGACGATCACGATCTATAGAGGATCGCACGGAATTCAGCGAAACGGCCGGACGGATAATTTGTCTTATATAAAACTAAGCCGACGAGGCAATATAGTTCTCGTTACAAAATGCTTTTTTAGATTGAAATATAAATTTAGTACAATAGTATACCCTTTATCAATACAAACCAAAAGTTTTAATGATAACGAGATATCTGCAGATAGGTACGTATTTAGAGATGACTAGGATAGGTTGTTTTTAAGGATTTTTGGGATTATGTTTAATATATTTCAGTGGTGATATATCTACAGGGATATGTTAAATAGGGTTGTTTAGGCTTCCATCGTTAACAATCATTTCTTACTGGAAAATGTATAAATGTTTTCAGCGGTCTGTTACGTATAATCATATTATTATGTTTAAAAATTGTTATTTGTATATGAAGTTTGTTCCAAAAGTTTAAAATGTTTCATACAATAATCATGTCTTCATCGTCATATAAGACTTATGAGTAGGGCTCGGATGTTGTTGCATTTGCAATTTTTTTTCTATTGTTCGGATTCGTTGCTAAGTAAGTTATAAATTTATTTTAAACGAGTACCAATTAATATATAAAAATTTTAAGTGCAAGTTTTTGCAATTTTTGACCTTTTTTCAATTTTATTGCAACTTTGTTGATTGTCGTATATATTTTTTTATGTTATCACTTTTTTTTGTTAGATTATACAGTGTAATAATTTTTAAGATAAGGTAAGGTTTTTAAAAAAAACAAATCAAAAATAGTTTAAATAAAAAGTTATACATTTTGATAAAATTATTTGTAGATTTCTGAAAAAATAAGAAGACCACACAATTCACCAGATTTTTAATGACAACTGACGAGAATTTGAATTTGAATCTTTTTTATTATCTACTCGTTTAAAACCAATCTAATAAAACTTTATAATATTACTTAATAAAATGACTTAATCCATTTCATAAAATAATTTTTTAATATATATTTTTTTTGGTACAAAATATTTATTTATTGCAATTTTTAAGTGCAATCTTGGGTTTTTTTCACAGCAAAAATGCAATAAATTTTATAAAAATTTTAGTGCAACAACATCCGAGCCCTACTTATGARGGATTCTAGTTCAGTCTCTACTATATATAATAAATTTTTAACCCCATTAAAATTAAACAAAATCCTGGTTACATTGCTCTTATTATTTTACACCGCTCCTTTATATTCTTTCGTGTCGTTCCTAATTAATCATGTAGTGTTAAAATCCTAGTGGCATTTTAATTTGCTAAACGTTATAGTTATATTTTTAATATATATCCGATATACCTTAAAGTTGAAAATCTACGTCCGTTTAAAGTTGTCAAATGGTTATCAACTGTACCTACTACTAATAAAATGTATAAATTATGTAACCGTACACTGAAATCGTGTGCAATCTATAGCCAAGACTATTTTTATTCATTAAATATAAATTTTTACTGCATACTTATTGGACATTTGAATAAATGCACCTACCTAATATTAAATTTAATTAGTTATAATACATATACTATATATTTTCTGAATTATTTATCGATTGGTATTTAGAAGTTGAAAATATAGGCTTTGTATTTTAGAAAATAACTGTTTAATTAAATAATATAGAATCGTCAACAATTGAAATCTATTATGACGCGTTTGAACTGGCAAAAATATTGGATGTAAAAATTCCCAACACKTCTTTGTGGCTGTAGATATGAACCGTTACGATTTATTATAAATAATAATATTTACGATATACTAATTGATATCATGTTTGGACAGAAATGCCTGGAGCACGGACAGGCATTCTCCRGCGGCCGGATCTTCGTCGAACAGCTCGAACGACCGGGCGTATGCTGCCAACCGCAGGGCAAAACATCACCGGGTGTACAATAGTCACCGGCAGACGTCTCGCGGTCACCACAAGAGCGATGGTGGCGGCGGCGGCGGCGGCGGTGGTGCCACCACGGACCCGGACGCCCTGTCGTCGGTGACAACGGCCGGCGTCAAATACAACCAATTGCAGCAACCGCCGACACAACATTTGAACCACCAATCGCTGCACCAACTACACCAGCAACAGCAGCACCACCACCGGCCGCAGATGGCGTCGGCCTGGCCACCGGTTGAACCGCCTCCTTCGGTCGTTCACCATCTCCAGCAGCAGCCGGCCRCCGTCACACAATACTTGCCGCAGCCGCCACCGCCACAGTTACCGCCGCAAAATGCCGCCGCTGCGGCCGCGGTCTTGAGGCAACATCACCAGCCACAGGCGGCGGTGCCACTGTTGCTGCCCTCGTGCGACGTAGCAGTCGACGCTTGCGGCGGCCACTGTCCGAGGTTCGAAAACTTCTGCCATTTCTGCTTGCTGGTGAGTCCGATAATAATATTATATTTTAACGCTCTATTATATCCGTTATAGTTTTATCATCATGTGAATTCRTGTCGTTTGTACGGGCTGTACCAATATACTGTTTAGTGTTCAGGTCTGCCGAGTGGTAATCAAACAGTGTGTTCTCTGACGTAGAGTTCGTACCCGATGAGAGTGTTCTATAGGGACTTGGAAGATGCATCCAAATGAAATCAATTATAAAAAAAGAAACGTACGACTTCATATTATGTAAAAAAAAAAAAAAATACTTTTAACAGTTTTTCGTAGATACTCTGATAAATTTCCAACACTGCAGTAATAATTTTCTGACCGACGAATAGCCGGATTTCTGCTAATACCGYCCATGGGTGGAAARAAACATTTAATGCCCTCATGGTTGACTGAAAAGTAAATTGAACTTCGATAAAAGCGAGACGAAAAACGCATATTTATAATTTTTATCATTTAGTAAAAACTGCGAAATTTTCACTGACATTCTGCAGTTATGCAATTTATTGTTACGTATGAGGAMGTCATGTCCGTCCACAGTTTACATCCAGTTGATGTTATTGTTTGCTGTGTATAAAAATTATATTAGATGCTATTCATATGCWACTCGAATTGGCAAAATAAAATTTTGGAGCTCAGTTCAAAAAAAGAGCGTTTYCATCACTTTGTATACGTTGTTCATTCGGGGGCATTCATTAATTTATAATTTATAACAATTATTCTCATTTATCAATTATATTTCAACAGCTCCAAAAGCAATCAATTAAAAAAAGTTAACCAATATAACCAAAATAACCTTAGATGTTGAGGCTTAAATAAATAAAAAATACATTCACATGCCAAATATTTGTTTAAATATAGTTCCATATATTCCCAATGAAACAGYGAAACCTCGATAAGACTGAATCACTTARGACCGTCCAATTTTTCCGTTTTAACAAAAATTCCGACTTTACGGGTTTCACATTCATTATGTATTTGAATCGGAACGAAAGAAATTGTTCGTATTATCGGGGGTACCGAAGTTTTACTGTATATTGTTTCATATATCCACCACGATTAAAGATATAATATATTCTATATTCTATAATATCCACCATGCATATTCCATTAATAAATTATGATTGTATGTTGATTTATATCTTCCAATTTAATTATCTTGGTAATGATACCTAACTGACAATAAGTATTAAAATGTATATAGACCAACATTTTGGTTATATATCAGCTGCTAGTCAGTATATATATATATACGTTTTTTAATATAAATAGTTAATGATTAATGAAATGATCAATGACATGAGTTATGATAGTATCTATAGTATCGTACATTCTGGTAAAAATAAATTTATAAATGCAGTGAGGCGGCGTACCTTCCCGTGCGTTTCAATTAAAAAAATAAATAAAAATAGTAAGTCCTTAACATACGCTTCAATTTCCGAAAAATGAGTTATCCTAAGAAACTCCATATTCCTTGCGAGCACTATAGAGATCGCATAATTATTATCATTATTTTGTATACATATAGTGTAATATTATAATCGTTTATACATCGTCCGCGGTTCACAGGTGTTTTATTTCGCTGGCATCACGGTGGGCTTCCTGATGATCATGGCGGCCATCGTGTCCACCCGGGACCCGCGGTTCCTGTACATCGGTGGCCTGGTGCTGCCGGTCAGCGCGTTCCTGATGGCCGTTCAGTGCCGGGTGCGGCAGGACGCCGACCGCCGGAAGCGTCACCGGCACCTGAACAGCCGGCACCACCACAGGTCGAACGCGGGCGCCCTGATGGTGATCAACAACAACAGCACCAACAGCAACCAACACAACGGCGGCGTTGCCGGCCAACCGTCGGCCACCGGGTCCGGCACGGCCGCCACCGCTGCCGCCGCCGAGATCATACCGCTGCAGAACATCATGGCGGCGGGCGGTGTCGATAACAGCGGCACACTTCGCCGACAGTTCCAGGGCAACGTCTACCAGTACGTCGGCCAGAGGGACGGCAGCGAGACAAACTACAACGCGGTCAACGGCCATCACTACGAGACGACGTCCGACCTACAGCAGTGAGTGTTGTTGCGTATAATGCATTTTTGATAATTCATCAACTACGAATAGAGCTGTACATTTTCATGAATATTTTCAATAATCCTAAACATTTTGGAAATAATTTTCTTATAGATTTTTTAATTACATACCATTTGTTAATTGTAAATTTATACACCAAAAACTTACGGACTTACTTAAAAAAATAAAAATAGTACCCAACTGTTTAACACATTTTTCTTCAAAAATAAAAATAAAAACTGTTCAATATATTTCACTTATTTATAAAATATAATGCTAACTGTTTAGTGTATTTTATTAATTAAAAATGTTCTGTTATAAATTTGAAAAAAAAATAGGATTTCAAATTAATTAAATCTTTATTATTAGGTAGTTAATTACAGTTATAGTTATTACATCTTACATAATATGTAAAATTTATGAAAATTTTCAGAAAATGTCAATGAAAAAATAAAATTTCAAGCTTTCATATCTAACTACGAATGTCGCGTGTCAACAAAATTATTTTCTTATCTCTTTATCTTGATGAAAAGTCGCGTCATATTTAATCTTATTTAGTAAAAAAAAATGTTTAATTTTATTCGTCCACTTTTTTTTATAATAAAAATAAAATAATATTTTTTTATTGCTAGTTAACAGGTTAACCGCTACGTTGATTTTTGGTACATTGCCTGGAACGCTTCTTGTACCGTTTTCGCAGATACACTTATTGTTTTGCCAAAAAAGTGTTGTACTATAGTACACGTAAATACGATTTAAACACAGGAAAATATTTCCTAGCTTACCAGGCAATAAATAACATTTCCAATCAGCTTTTTGATATCTTATAAATTAATTTTGTTAGGTAAAAAAGAACAATAATAATAAATTTTAAATAAGGTTCGTTGTTAAAAAACACGTGTTCGCTACTTTTTGGGTTAGCTCGATGGCAAATGAACCATATGTACCAAAAATGGTTTACTTAGCGATTAACATGTTTTAAACATTAACAGTGAGATTACCGACTGCACTAAAAACATTTACGTCCGATATGTAGACGAGTTTTGCTCGTTGCTGATAGCTGATGAATGAATTGCGTTAAATAATAGCTATTTAATCTAAAAACGTGTAAATATATTTAATATTACTAATAATTTATTATGTTCATCATCAGCACATCATTAGTTACTTTGCTTAAATAGAAAAATCGAAACTTACAATATTAAACTCGATTAAAAATAAATGAACATTTATTATTGTACCACGTATATAATAAAAAATATCTAATTATTTCATCTTCTCGTTGCCCTGAATATTATTATACCGAACAATATTGTGCATTAAACCGGTTGAGGCGATGATAAGGTTTAGCGATTGTGAAAACTTTGTTTCGTCCATATATGGGTATAGGTGTCGCTCAAATTCATACACCATTGTAATATATCCTTAATACTACTTGGTGTACCTATGTCTGCTATAATATCACAGAATAAGACAATATTATTAATATACTATTATATTATTAAAGATAATATTAAGAGGACGTGATACCCGCATGTGTTGTCTCTGTCTTACAAGTGCATTATATAGTAAATTTTACGTTCAGCAGAACACGTGTAGCTCCGTTGCTTAAAAATTAGAGTGAATTGACCTCTTATAAAATTTAAAGATACAAATATTATGTAGACGACCTCGTGGGCTTTTAACTTTATTTTAATTTTGAAGCGATTTAAAAGTATTTTAAAATTGTAAATATTTTGCACATCTTATAATACTTATAACAGTTATAAATCTATAGTAAAAAGCCCATGAGATCGTCTATATAATATTCTTAACTTTAAATTTTATAAGGGGTCAGTTCACTCTAATTTTTAAGTTAACGGAGCTACACGTGTTCTGCTGAGCGAAAAATGTACCATGTTACGCATTTGCATGTAAGACAGAGACATGCGGGTATCACGTATCACGTCCTCTTAAGTTTCATAATTGACCCCGGATAAGTACTGTTATAGAACATAACATTGTATAACCTATATATTAATATTCTCATCATCTCATCGGAGGAATGTTAGCTTTGTTCATAAACAAAACATTATTTAACCAGTTAATCGGTAATCAATTGATCAATAYAATATAATTTTTTCACTTTTTAATTATTTTAATATAGGTACGTGGTTGATTTATGATGTACGATAATTTAATGTTAATAACGGAGTCGTAGGTCGGATAGAAAACATATTTTCCATACCTGAAGGTAAAACCAAAAGGTATAAGCGCAACAATCGGTGGTTCACTGGCCGTGAAATAAAAAGATGAGAGCAATTATGAACGTACTAACCGTAAATTATAGGGAGTGCATTTCGTACACTGGTAATAAATTATTATCTAGGTGGTTTTTTGGGCGTGGAAGTGTTAATTTTTGACTAATTGCCTATTCATTTATTCGATTTGGTTATAAATACTGTTTGAGTTATAATGCCACACAATAATTGTGAATATTAATCCGCACAAAAACCCGTATTGAATTATTTTAGAATTTTGCCTATAGCTCGTTTACGTTTATTGTATGTATAAATATTATTGCCTCGTCAGGTATTTAAGAAGAAGAATCAGTGAAAATGTGTGATAAGTTTTATCGTTATTTGAGTAATTTCATATTTTTGCTGAGTTCAGTCATGTACACTGACACATACCTATACGTATAATCGTAAGCCGCGAAATGCGTAAACCATAAATTATAAACATCTAACCTAATATGTAACATCTTTAATATTACTGACTTCCAGTCTAGTGTCCAATTATTAAAATTGAAAAATTATTTTCCTTAAACATTACAATATATTTTTTGTGTAAAAATCTACTTAAATAAATATTCCAATCAATTAATATAATATAAATGTTTTATGATAATGCGTAAWTTTTTCGAAAATACGACGAAAAATATAGGCTCTTATAACTTGGTGGTATACAACAAAATGTTCCATTTCATTTTCAAGTTTTATTCTTTTATTTGTAATTATGTAAATATAGTGATTTGTTAAATTAATTGTTAATGTTTGGCATTGTCGAGGTTATTATTTTACGGTAAAGGTATGAATAATCAATATAATCTTCTGTTTTGTTCGAAGCTTWTTTTAAATGGTCCATTCTTATATATTTATAGTTATATTATACTTATATAGGTACTTTCGATGTAATCAAAACCTTTTTTGACCGCCTTTCGGCAAAAGCGTAGCGTGTATTGTCTTTAAATGCTTRTTGCTTATCATCAAAACATTCAAAACGGTATTCAAATAAATCATTTGTTCAAATTTGCATTTGTGTTTTTTTTTGTTGCAGAGTTGAAGGAGTGCCATGGTGGAGACGAGAAGACAACCGACCGTATCACAACCGCACCCTTCACCAGTAACCATATACAACACACATACCCTGTCCTCGGCTGCTCATAATTATTATTATTTTTGTTTTTCAGTAGCCCTCGTCGACTGTGTGTTTATATATTATTATTATAAATACGATTTGTACCTATATTTATATATATATTATTCATTATTAATATTTTTATTTTTTTGTCACTAAGTTTTTTATGTCGCCCCGTTGCCTTGGTGCGACGTTTGTATACGTTTATATACTTACATTATATTATTAAACAACGTTATACGTGATTCGATTGAAATATTATGTCTCAACTTATCCCAAAAACGTAACCTCCAACATTGGCAATAGTGGGCCTCGTCATATTATACAATACCCAGTTGAGCCTACCTATACAGTGGTGTTTTGTAACTATTTTATTATAATCTTAGGCACAAATTATTATCATGTATGGAAATGTCATCACAGTACAACTTTTATGACTTCAAGACTTATCTAAAAAAAAAAAAACTTTTTTCAAACTGTTCTCGTGCTTAATAATAGGACTTAAATACTTTTTATGATATAGGGTTTTACCACTGCCATTTGTCAACTACATGTTACCTACGTGAAAAATGCGTATAATCTGTGAATTWTTTTTTTAGCAATACACCACTAGTGCCGTACCTACTCGGCCGCCTTTCATTCGAAAAAAAAGGTGCCACCACTGACAGCGACTGACTACGAAAACTCRATGAGCTTTATCATAAATACCTACCGTATAATACAATATTAATGGTTACACATAGAACACTGTGTTGTGGACGTGCTACAATGGACTGACGGATTATTTATTATTATAGTTAGTACCTACTTTTTCCGCTACTCAATTTTATATTATACATCATTACCTATGTATGATATTATTATTTATTATATCTGAACAGTTCCACGGGAGAAAAGGACGCGAAGTCCTTGAAACCGAAAACCTTGTTATTACCACAAAAACCAATAAAAAAAAAAAATATATATATATATACACTTATAATAATAATAGCACCGAACAAATATCGTCTTTGGAATATTGAAAAAAAATAATGTTCGCCATTAAAATCATACAAAGACAAACTTGCGAATAATATTGTAGCACGACATGTAAATATTGGTGATAATGCAATAGGTACTAATAAGTGTTTGTCCTTAAACATTTCGTCTACAAAATATAAATATGAAACTCAATACGTGACAGAGTAAGATTGATCTTGAAAATGCTCTTGTTAACTATTTTTCTAACATTGAAACGGACTGCAGTGATATTCCACATAAAACTAAACCACAGTCTATGATATTAAATCGTAGCATAGATACTGACTATAATTATTGGTTAATCTTTTTATAATTTTATCGGTATGGTTAACCTAACAAATTTAACAGGTTTCAAGGTGTTTGAGTAATAACATTGTAACTCGGTAAATTAATATATATAGTATGCAATTATATGCATAGTAAATATTTTCATATCAAAATTTCTAGAAAATTGTTTTCCAACAGGCTTCAAAGAATTTGAAGTATTGTGGGACCTTATGTGTGTTTGGATAACATCATAAAATAGTTATTTCTATTTAGTAAACATAAAAAATAATAAAACCAAAAATATTATAAGGTGATAACCTTAATCATATATTAGAATTAATAAAGAATTCTTTGTTTTTAAATATAATAAAATTAATTGTCCAAACACAGAAATGGACTGTCAAAGGCAATAATAATAAAAAAAATAAAAAATAAATTGTAAGTATACATATTAATGAGGTTAATCACATCTGTTAATGTTATAGCATATTTAAGACAACACTTTATAATAATACATTATAACATAAAGACAACAAAAAATTATCATTTTAAAATAAATGCCGTTGTTGATGAACACTTGTATTATTAATATTTAATACTGTATCATAATAACCTCAAATTCGTTATAAACATGTTTTAATTGTTAATTAATATTAAATTTACACTTTAAAAGTTGCCAAAAATTAACAATAAAAAGTTTTACTTATAAGCATAATAGAAACTTTACAATTTACTCACGTATACATAATCAAATTATTAAAATAAAAAATAGAAAAAGGTAAGTTTACAAAAATCACATATATAAAAAAAAATTTAGTACCAATGACCACTGAAGAAAATAGTAAAAAAATTAATATTGCACAGTAAAACTGTAAAAAATTGTATACAATGTTATAATTTGTTTGGCGATTTAAAATAAATTATAAATGAAAAACTGTTAYATTTTTGTTATTTTACCTGATCCATACTATAAACTGATGAAGATATGGACGGTGTCAGGTCATCGTGTAATGCAAGTGGTGCTGTCCAGTTGCTGTGTAGTTGTGCTTTGTTGTGGACGGGTGTTTGTGGAGAATAGAAGTGATTGTGAAATGTGGGATAGTCGTATCTACTGAGAACAATAACCAAGTTTTGTGTGTTACACAAATTTTGTTTTGGGTAAGACATAAAATTATTATTTTATGATATAAAGGCATCCTCACTTGTGATAATAGTCATTGATGCCTGATAAAGAATCAGTGAAATTCGCCTCAAGTCAAGCATCTTCACCGGAAAGAGGCGAGACTCCGCTTGGTACATGTGTGCGGAGTGCCGCTACCGGCGGGTTACTTGTTACCAACATGTGGTCCCTTTCGTCATTGCTGCACACACAGTAAAAAAGAATAAATAAACAATTTGATAAGAAATAAACAAAACACCCTATTAATCATAACATTGTATGTGTCATTTATTATTAAAAAAAAAAAAACAAAAAACATTACTTCTTAATAACTATGGCACTAATCTTCAATGGCGTTGTTAATTAGAAGTTAAGACATTTATAAACTAGAATACAATATTTATAAACAACAAAAACAATAATTCATTTAATTGATGCCAATGTATATTATAATGTAAAGTTATATAGTAAAGCACATCATTGTTTATTAGTTATTTTTTATTTTCTACTATCTAACAATGTATTTACAAGTAAGAATAAAAAAAATACAAGATGTCCTTCAGAGTTTATAAGAATGAGTCATATTCATTAATGACACTAAAGTATAATATTTATAATACTACTCTATGGTTAATAATTAATAATTAAATCTAATAATAAATATTATTATTAAATATATTACATTTTTGATCAATTTTAGATTTAATGGAAATATTATTTAATCTTTGTTAATGAAGTAGTCACTGACGAACATTTAATTCATGAGGCACGCAGATGCTCAACACTTACCAATCTTTGTTATCGTTTCCCATTAATTTTCTAGTTTCATCCTCTTCAATAATTGTGGGTGGAGCTTCTGATGTTGGTCCATACTGTGCAGATGCCATCAAGAGGTCTGTAGATGGATTCAATGTGAGTACCTGTACAAATAAACATAGTGGTTACCTATTTCATATGAAAAACAGTATTTCTGTAGTYGATACATACTTGTCCATTGGAAGACTGAGATTCCATTTGTCGCGCTTTGCTATTGAAACAAGGGCAACTCTCTTTGTCCTTGATGTATCGGAAATAACCTATTAATAGGACAACACCAAATACAAAACAGAAGGAGCCAATAACCAAGAATGCTATATCTTCTGTATAATTGTCCTTTGTGTTGTCTGAGTTCACAAAGTTTGTGGTAATGGACAGGAACAAGAATACACCAATGGCTATCAGAATCCAACTGATCAAAATGAATGACCAGTGGAACCACCTTGGGTTACGGATGTGATTCAGGGTACGACTGATTAAGCCATTTGTTGGCTGTGACCATTCACTTTGTTGTTCATAACTGACTGTAGTTGGTTGGTATACTGGACCAGATGTTGGCATTTTGATTATTCTATCACTATTCAACACCTGCAAAAATAAACATTAAGCATATACATTTAGGCGGTAAATGGAGCACAATTTTTTTACTTATTTCTTATGAACAATAACTATAAGTCATAATAGAATTTTGTGCGCGTGTCAAAAATGATAATTTGTGGCATTCTTCATAATTGATTAGATTAACGATTGCCTTTACTAATTATTAATAATTAAATATTTTATCTTATTCTGGGGTCAGAAAAACAATTATAGCTAATAGGTAAGGAATAGATTCATAGTTATTTAGAAGTACATACCAATGTGCCGAGATAATATTTTTATTTTTTCTAATTAAGCAAATATTGATCCTAGGTGGTAAATTCAGCAGAACAGATAATTAAATAACATAATGAAGTGTCATTTAAATAGAAAAACTGGTGATGGTAATCAAACAATAAATTAAATACCTAAGCCGGTTATTATGTATTACATTTAACGCCAAGGATGATAGGTAACTAATGGAAATGGCTTGGGGACAGATAAACACTTTTGTTGTAGAGCAACAAGGTTTACTGAGAAGGTTCAAACTGAGAAGTACAGGTTCAAACGACAGATATCGACAAAGGGTTGGCCAGAGGTATTCTGGTCCGGATCAAACAACATAAATGTGGGGTTTTATTTTGTGTACTCTTTGATACTATAAATATATCTACACTTACTACGCTAGAAGAGAGCTGCCGCAAACGGTGTTTTCCCTGCGGATATTTTGTTCTGCTTCGGACGTCGTCGTCTCGTTATAATATCATACCTACTAACGACCAAAAATCAGTCGGTATCACACTTGTAACGAGCGTCGTTGAATAACAAAAACGAGAGTCGTAAATACTCGGTACTATTTTCTATATGCAGTATGAAGGTATCAGCAATAATGATAATAGTACTATAGTTGTAGCGTAACAGACAGGTGGTCGGTTATGAGCTTTGGGGGAGGGGGGGGGCTGAGCACGTTTGAAAATTTCCTTTCACCGAGTTTCCGTTTTTTTTTTTTTTATTATTCGTTTGCGAGTAAAAAATTTAAATTTACACCAAAAGTTCAGAACGCGCGCACAGCAGTCGGCGGCGGCAAACTGTTAACTAATCGCGGGCTGGTGATGGACGTAAACGAAAAAGTGTCAAGAGACGGCGGCGGCGGCGAATGGCAATAGGCGATAATAGTACGAGAGTCTGTAGGTGGGTGGCCAGTAGTAAAATAATAATGATATTCTTTTCGTGTATGTCGTCTCCTGTACTCTGAATATTCTGATAAAACTCGGCGGACCACGGACTCGGGTCGACGAGACGTCCCCTCCGCGACAACCGCCGACGGTGTCCGACGGACGCGCAGTGTGGCCAACAGACGGACACCACCCAGTTTCCTATTGTTCGTGGCCGGTCGTGTATTACACATGCTTAAATCACGATTGTCGGCGCACGGTAATACCGTGCGGACGGGAYCGCGTGCGACGCGCCGCACTAGGAACGGCGACGGTGCGTTCACACTCGAACGCAGCTGACGAACAACGCGAGATCGATGACCACGCACACGCGATACTCGCACACACGGCGCGAACGTCTCCTCGACCCTCGCCCACGTCTTCCGTTTGTTAGTCATTCGAAATTCGGCGCGATCGGAATAATAAAAACTAAACGTAATATCACATACGTATTATAGGAATCGTGTGTCGTCTGGACGAGCGCTTCGTCGTCGTCGGTGGATGCGATGACCTTGTACGGGCGAATAACGACACTGAGAGAGTGAGAGATGGCGAGATATTAATTCGAGATCGACTACATCTGAGAATGCGTTTGCCGGTCGGTTTTGACGTTTTTTACTTGCCATCTTTGGCAGTCTTCGATAATATTTCGTTTTACCTGTTGCGCTCGTGTTCGCGTTTGGCTTCCGAGACGTATGTCGTAAACAACGGAAAAATCCTTTCTCGTCGTTTTCCGTCCGCGATGGTCGTCAAACCGATTCAGAGCACACTGCGTTTTGTTCTCTTCTCTCTCACCCGCGCGTAACACAGACAAACACACTCACGTGATACGCCAACTTTTTTTCTGCGGATCCGCAGGTGTAAACGTTTAGGTACAGAGTAAAAATGCAAAAATCTCACATCGCAAATTATATTGAAACTTGAGAATAATGTTTGCTTTTCGAAGATTTGACGTGAGGACGTAAAGTTTTAAAATGTATAATCTCCATTTAAATTTAAAAAATAAAACGTTAGTTATAAATCTAATAAGATTAGTATATAGTATAATATATAGTTAGTTTAATATGTATGATACTAATACCAACTACAATTAAAATTAAAAGTAAAATCATCTACGACTTCTACACGCTCATCTTTACAAAGTAGATCGTCTGTTACACGAASGGATTTTTGTATCACAAATAATATGATTTCACTCGAAAAAGATTGCTACACCATAACAAAGAACATTATTTCGCATAAACGAGTTTTGTTTATAAGCCGCACGTTGGTTAGTGAATAGTGTGAGTTAATAAAAAATTGTAAACTAATATACTCTAAACTCTTAATAAATTAATAAAATTCCACATCTTGTCGATCATTTAAACATTGTATTAAGAGGACGCMTACAGYGAGTAACGAGTATTTTAAAATTGTAAATAATTTTTATATCTAAAAATACTCATAACTTGGCTTAAAATTAAAATATAATAAAAAGCCTATGAGATGCACTCGGTAATAATCTTGCCTTTAATTTTTATAACAGGTCAATTCACTCTAAATTTTAAAATAACGGAGATAAACGTGATCTGCTGAGCGTAAAATTTRCTATGCTACGYACTTGTAYGACGGAGACAACACATGCGGGTTTGGCGTCCTCTTATTAACAGAAAATAATATGAAAATCACTTCTCTTTAGCTCGAGCATCCCGATATGGAATTCAATACAATACACAACCATCCCTTCTTTCGCCTCCGTAATTGTAATATAAATTGGTGTGATTTATTAAATACCAATTTTTATTACATATAATAATATAAGTACATTTTACATTCGCAGTTAAACCTACAGGAATACTGAATTTATTTACATTCGAATTTGAGATGCATACCAAGCAAGAAATGCGTTATAAAATGCAGTGATCACTCGGCATACGGTATTATAATATTATTTTTATTTTATTTATATTAAGCCTCGKCGTCAAAGGCCATTGGCGTTGGTTTACAATAGGTTACATATATATACAATTATTTACAGGTTATATACTATATATAAGCTTGGACTTAATTTATAATATTATTATATCGATACCAATAACGTAGAATAATATTTATCATTTATTATTCTATAGTTTCGTCATTCGAAAATCCGGTAAATTATCGAATTAATAAATATATCATATTATGATAACGTAAAATAATGTCTTGGTGTTATGTATTTGTTTTTATTTGCAGCGATTACTATACAGGGTGATTGATTTATCATAAAACACTCATTATTTCAAAAGTATAGAATTTTTTCAAAATATTTTCTTACATGGTGTCAAGTTGTTAAAAAACCAACGATTTATTAAAAAATTATATTTTTAAATATTTTTTATCCTTAACATTTTTTAAGTTTTTTACTTTTCTAAATGACAACATAGAGTTTCAATTTCATATTCCAAAGCAGAATATTTTTCTAAGTATTTTGATACATAGAAATCGAATTTGGGGCTAGTAGTTTATGAGTTATAAGTAATTAAAGTTTAGACAAGCGGAGTAGTGGATAAACATTTTGCGGGGTAACCCCGTACAACTCCACTCTGCCAATCTAAACTTTAAGTACTTATAACTCATAAACTACTAGCTCCAAATTCGAATTTTATATATCAAAATACTTAGAAAAATATTCTGCTTTGGAATATGAAATTAAAACTATGTTGTCATTCAAAAAAGTAAAAAACATAAAAAATGATAGGGATAAAAAATATTTAAAAATATAATTTTTTAATAAAAACGTTGGTTTTTTAACAACTTGAACCCATGTAAAAAAATATTTTGAAAAAAGTCAATACTTTTGAAATAATGAGTGTTGTTTGATAAATCAATCACCCTGTATAGGTCATGTATGTCTTATATAATATATATATATATATATATATATATAACATATAATATTAAACTGTTTACGTKTAAGTGTACGTATTACGCATAATTATAATATATGACGATCGTGTTCTCCGATGATTTTCACTTCGAAAATCGGAGACTGCGCGGACTTTAATATCATATTATTATTTGTTTGTATCGAATATATTCGAATGTTGGACTACGTAGGGTGTACATAGTACTACATACCCATCTCGTTATTAATAATTTATTATAGACGGTTGTTTAAATTAAGACGTTACGCGTATGAGCCCGCGTCATAAGCTCGTGCCGTGCGATTATGATGATGTTGTTACTTTAACGTTTCTTTTAATCGGCTACATTAAATACGACGCTATAGTTATGCACATAATTACATAAATTATTATTATGATGCACGTTGCACGTAATATAAATGCGTTTGTCTTTCTTACCGTGTTTGTTAGTGGTCGTCTATTATTTATTTACTCGTGCGCCTCAAAAATGTCTGATACTACAGAACTGATTACCTATTGCGTCGTGAGATTGTGGAATTTATAATTATGTCATTACGTTCAGTAYGAAAATAAACACAAAAAAGTCGAAAGATGCGTGCAGCAAGAGCAATTATAAATAAAACTATAGGGCAAGAATATACATCATCTTCGACATACGGATACGAGGAAATCGAGATGTATAATATTATATACAGAGAAAAAGGGGAAAAATCCATTTATTTTTGGAAGTCCTTTTTATATATTATAAAGAGATGTTGAGGGAATAGCTCCAAATAAAATAGCATTTAATCAAAACAGAGCTTTTTTACATTAAAAAATATTACCCTACATGTCATTATCAGAACAAGTTTTAGAAAACATGATATACTGTTTAGAATATAATTATATGTTTTATGGTGGATTGGCGGAGGCGGCTAAACGTGAGTGCACGATCGCTAAAAAAAAAAAAAACAAAAAAAAGGAATGATGCTTTTGAGATTTAAAGCTACTATGCAGACGTATGCACAGGAGAACGCTCAACATATAAGTTGGACCGATACAATAAGTACAATACAAAATGTATGACTAAAAATTTATTTGAAAAATATCAAGAAAAGAAGGGATTAATGGATTGTAATTTTGCTAAGACGCTTTATGGTTGCATGTTGCTTGGATTATCATACGAACAAATTAAAAGGAAAAAAAATGACAGAGAAGAGTAGAAAATTTCTGCAAACCAGCAAACCAATTCCAAGACTAAACTGAAAAGAAATATTTTAATATCATTCATACTATGCAATATTTGCACGGTGGTGRTTCAAAATAGCGTTTTTCTTTGCATATTTCCTTTAGAYTGTATTTAACTAGATAATATCTTTTTCTTGATGTCGCTACAGTTTGTTGAATTCACGTAGTAATATATCGTCAACAATTTATATAATAATAATGAGTATACTATTATACCGTGTGCGCGTATTACTTAAATTACAAGAAATCTGTCATGTCTTGGCCTGTAGTAGGAACATGTCTAAATAAGACAATATCATCAGTTTGAGAAAACTGATTACCATATTGATTGTACCTAATATGGTAATCGGTTTTCTGTCATGTATCGTTATATATATATATATTTAAATACAATTCGATTTAACGACTGCGAGAAAAACGAACAAGCAGTAAAAATGTAAAACACAAATTACGTTAAAGAATAATTTTTAAGGTTGTTTAAACAACTTAATTAAACATACAGTATGGTGTGTATTCTGTGTCGTATGTATGTTTATGTATTACCTATGTGCTTCGTGATGTACCGTGTTTTACCTAAGTTAAATATTAGTCTTTATTCTTCAAAAAACTTAATTATTTAATACCTATGATATCCTATACGTGTCACGAGTATGATTTCCATTTTTTTTAATCTGAATTTTYAACGTACCAATGAAAATAATAAATAATTATTAATTTTCCTTCTTTTTCGCGTACCTAAATATATAATATAATAATAATATTATTAAACATATTTTATTCCTAATACAATAATATTATTAATTAATATAATTATTATATACTGCAGAAGTGCAGACGTCTATGCGAAGCGAGAAATCGTGATAACAACTCGAATTTCTTTTCCACGAACCGTTATAATATGTTATAATAGATGGCTTTTATTTTATGTGASGGTCTAT